TATTTGTATGAAATATTGGGTTTCTAATGATTTAGGAAAGACGTGTGAAAAAGAATAAAAATTTATTCTATTCTTAATAATAAAAATCAACATTTTATTTTGGGTAATCAATAAATTTAATAAATTCAGCTTTTGATACTTTTTTTTTTGTAATGCTATTAAGATCGGGTTATAAGACCAGTCTAAAAGATCAGTCTAAAATCAGTCTCATTGAAGATGATCCTCAGTTCAATCTCACCCCTAGATTGATAAAGACTGGATCGAGATCGGATGGATCGGATCGTTAACAACCTTATACTTACAAACTCTAGCTGAATCGAAACTGAAGGTAAGCTCTCAAACTTGCAGACTTGCTTTTTGACAGTGGACTGATTCTCTTATTGGTTTTCTAGTTGTTTTAAAATATTTCAAAACTTACGATGAAGAAACATGTACTTACGAACATTTTTTAAATGAATTAAAAGAAACGATTATAACCTCGCCACCATATACTGATGACTGGAGCAGTTTACATGGTACAATAGATATATATATCGTTCCAGTAAGATAAGGAAAGGTTTCATGCTACACAAACTTTACTAACTCCCAAAATAGCTTTTATTACCAACGTTCAAGGGCGCTTCTGGGTTGTAGTTATATTTTATGGTATAGTACGATCCAGAGGTTTTGCTGAAGTTTTCGGTGCCCAAGTGATGAGTAAAGAGTGCTTCTGGGTTGTAGTTATATTTGGTATATAGTACAATTCAGAGGTTTTACTGAAGTTTTCGGTGCTCTCTCATTGCGATTTATTAATAGAATGAAAATGATAAACGTCGACAAATGAAATCATTTTTCCAAGACATTGTTCTTGAACGTGAAAAGGTTAGCATCTTAACATTATCATTTACAAGAAAAGTAAAAAAATTTTTTTTAACTATATTCCTTAACCTGCTAAAATTGAGAAATGCCGGGAAAAATTATGTAATAGAAGGTGTAAGAGTTCTCAATGAAGCAAGGTTTAGTAGTTCAAATGATAAATGATATCCTGAGGATCAAGCCAGTAGAAACAAAGATGCTTCATACAAACGTCAGTGTCGCTGAACAGAAAACGAGCCATCGCAAACTCCAGAAGACAAGGTAGTTTGTATCCTCCGTTGTTTTAATATATATCCCGCAACAAAATGTCTTCTCAACTTATACTGTTTGAATTTTCGTAATTAAGCCTTCAATACTTATTATTAATTATTCCAAATGACAAATAACTTATTGTCACGTTTGCTCATGATTTAGATGATATCAAATGGAAACAACAGCTCCTGATAATTATGAAACTTCCTCTGGAAATTACACTTCTGGGCAAGAGACGGATGAAATATCACTTATCGACTTGGATAATTTTTAAGGAAACATATCAAGAAATGGATTCCAATCAGATGTGGACATTAAAAAGTGGTAGAAAGGTAGAAGAAGTTATTTACGCATTTGCCAGAAATCTTTTCAGAGAATCATATTTACATTCGTTTATAATTAATGACGTTGATGTAGAAGCCAAATCGTTGTTTGCTAATGAAGAGTGGAAAGAGATCACTACTTCAGAGGTTAAGGACAAGCGAAGTCTCGAACAATCTCACATGAATTTGTTGAAAGAATATACGGTTGACAATGTTGAGAAATTACAAGAAATTATTTTTGAACCGTTTCTACAAGATGGATCCAAATATGATAATAGATCTCATTTCGATCTTAATTACTATATATCATTATTCATACAGAGCAATGTTATTCTTGTGGCAGAAGGATGAAAATCCTTTCGACTCTGAGAAACTGGAGGGCTGGTACGAGATGAACGTCTGGAGCCACTTAATTGATCCAGCTTTCCACAATCTGAACATTGATTTAGTACGTGGCGAAGGGATGAGTAAGGCGTCGAGCGATAAAAAGAATCTAGAAAGAAAAATATATGATCGAAAAAAAATTGGAAAAAAGGGCGATGGAGTTTTTAGATTGTGTAAGGATCGTCTGGAATTCAGCGCTATAGAAGCAGGTCGGAAATGGGAAGGGGAGAAGGGGACTAAATACATGCATGATTCTTTAAAAATATGTAAAATGTTAAAGGATATGATTTCACAGCTTGCTGTTGTTTTTGATGGGAGAGCAGAACTTGTCAGGAAGTTGGACTATCCAAAAGGATATATTTCTCAGATCAAACGTAGAAAATTCTATAAAGTTTCTGGACGTCTAACTAAATCCAATCCATTTGCTTTAGTTCTGAAAGAGATAAATTGCGCAAAATCCATTATCTCACGAATGTTGGACATGATAAACCATAAAGATGACGTTGATTTTGAGAATTTCCTTAACGACTCTGATGAAGAGGATAAATGTCATGTGTCTTCTCCCAGAGTTAACACACCTCCTACTTTCAGCACTCCGAAGAAAAAGAGAACAAAAATGTGATTAATAAAGAAAAAATGAGATATTATTGCGAGGTTGGGAATTTTGTATGTACTAGATAAAATTACCATTGTACTTGTACTATACTTGTACTAATTTTTATATTAATTATTATAATGTACTAACTGTACTAACTGTACTAATCATTGTACTAACACTGTACTTTCCAACCCTGATTATTGTATACTTAGTATGAGCAGTTATTATCTTGTTGTATAATAAGTTTTTTCTGGAATTTATTTACTTCTGTGATCCAGTCACTTGATATAATAAATATAATATAGATTTGCTTTAGCAAACCTGCACTCATGATCCGAAAAATGATAAACAAAAAAAGTTACTGATAACAAATATTTGAATCATTTTCTAAATTATTTTTCGCGCATATTACTACTTCTATTATTATACGAACTTATGCAAAATGTGGTGTGGATAAGTGAATTTGCTAACAAATCACAATTATGCTATTAGCTCACATGTATACGCTAATTACATTATATGTTTTGGGGAATCTTAACCTGTTCCAGAGGGTATATAGTTGATGTAATGATATAAATAGCGAAACTACCTAGCTCGATTTGTGAAATTGTTACTCAGAAATAATTGTATCGAAGGATACACTCTTTCATTCCCTTCAGATAACATTCTAGACTTGTTCCCATTAACTCGCAACTTTCCATCACACTGCCTATTATGTGACAAACTTATCGTCTCAAATGCTGGAATGCTTTTCAAAGTGAAATCCTAATAGTAAATGTGAAAGCATAATTATGTGAAATCAATCACTTGAAATGCGCTAGTAGAATTATTGCTGAAGGAATAGGGGCTGTGTGATAGGGGGTTTTCGCAAAATGAATTCGTACAAAAATAATATATAATGTGAATTCCATCCCAGGTGAAAGCTCACTCTTGAAACCCTGCAAATAAATGTAATTCTGAGAATAAAGAACTTCATACTTTCTTTACTACCCAGAGTATTGTCATTGCCCAGAATATTGTTGTCGCAGAGAATATTGCAATCGAAGACGTATGAATTTATTTTTAAATTCTTTGAATTCCCTTTTCTGAATACACAGAATTCTTTAATTCTCAGAATTTTTTATTATCTATAAGAAATAACTGGCATACTAACACCATCTTTTCACATATATTATTCGAAGCAACTTAACCAACTTCCTCAATTCATAAAAATAGATATATAGCAATGGCTTATATCTCGAAAATACCTATTATCGCTGGAATAGACAAGTGGTATTCATCCCAAAATGAAAGATATGTTAAATTAGGCAGTTAAAAAATATATTAAGAAAAAAGAGCATCAGAGAATGAAGCCTATTACCAGTGACTGAAAATTTGTTAAGAAAAAAAATGAGGAGTTGTGTATATCAAAGCAGTTATTAAAAAAAAGATTGAAGAGCTTCTCGATTTGCAACAGCAGTATAAGTCTTGTGAGGTAGCTATGATCAGGTCTTTGGAAAAGAGTGATGAGAAAGTCATCTAATTATCAAATTCAGTAGCTTTTTTCAAAAGTATGATTCCTGATACAAAGGAAGCTATTGCATCAGCAAAAAAGTCCATTGACATGTTAGAGAATAAATGCCGACATCTGAAGGATATTATTTTTGCTAAGGATAGGAAAATTATCACTCTGATTGATCAGATTTCTTCCTATATAAAATATAGTGATATAACTATAGAACTGGAAATATATTTTAGCACTTATGAAAGGAAATTATAGGCGAAGAGGCGTAGTGAATCTGAATATAACCTAAAAGCCCAGAAAAAATATACATTTCATCTTACTTCATCAATTTTTTTGAAGAAGCGTTAAGCTAAAAGAATTTCTACTCACTAGCTTGAACATTTTTTCAAAAATTTTATTTCATTCAGCTCGTATCTTGTGAGAATTATTTGAAGGCACTGTTAAATCAAAGATAATAAAATTGTGATTAGTCAAATAGTTAATGATATCTTATATATACTATGCTAATCATAAGCATATAGGCGAAGAATATAGGCTAGTTCATTAGAAGTAGAGTCATTAAAGAGTATGATATAATTTAATTCTTTCTTTATTAGCTTCAGATAGTCAAAAAAGCTCTGTGTGATATATATACTGCTAATATTTTTGTAACATCTTTTAGTAAAATAAGAAATGATTTTTTTCTGGACTTTCTTTGAATCAGTGCATACATCTTCGAATATGACCACTATACCACTTTTTGAAGAGAATGAATTCAGCTTTGGAATTTTATCAGGCTTTATAGCCCGAAATGTGATATCTTCACAATATGGTTTTGGACTATTCGCAATTACCTGATAAGCTGATTTGAGATACTTATATTTTGGCTCATTGAGGTGATGACCTATCAAAAGAAGATCATCATTTTTAATATATTGTATTCCTCCTTTTTTACCTTTAAACATTCGATAAAGCTTGTTTTCTAATAATAGGTTCACAACTTCATTAGTTTTTCTTGAATTAGTACAGCAGAAATTAATACTGTAAAGGATCACTAGGGAGTTGAGTTCAATCCGTTGAATCTTTTTGCATCTTTTATCTCATCAATATAGAGAACGATTCTATCTACTGGATCAAGCTTTTTGACTTGATGTTTCTTATGATCTTTCATATTGCTTAATATTATACTTTAAAAATATATTATGAAATTTTTAGACAGGCTGTCATCTCGAGATTTAACTTGGCAATTTCAGATTTATATTACGTGAACTTTCAAGGGTTGGGTTTCACTCTATCTAAAAATCCTTTCTCAATTAGCGTATGCTTAATAAATGGATATAAATCTGCAGTATACGGTACTTTGATAAGACATATACCTTGCTTTTTGCATATATCTCACTTATTCTATTGTGTATTCTCTGTTCATCTAAATCTATCTGACCTCTTCTATAAAATATTAAATTAAGACTATAGTGTTACCTGCCATAAAATTTGAATCCTAGTCGCAATTCTTTATTATATTCATCAAGTTACATTTCATACAAAAAATTCAGCCTACATGATGGAAATTTCTTGCCTAACAGATCTTTAAAATATAATGTACATTTCTTTCACTAGTATAATAGCATAGAAGGTACCATTCAAATTTTTTCACAATATATTTTAGTGGATAACTCCTACTGGTGTGCATCATTCTCACAAGACCAAAGATATACATTATGATTATTTATTTATCCAGACTTTCCTAAATATTGCCTACCACGCTTTTTGACATATTTCAAAGCCTGAACTATTTCATTATTATTAGGAGAAGTATAGATGAAATATACAGATAATATGCTTTGGGTGGGTACCCAACTTTTTTTGAGTCAGCTATTAATATGAGTTCTTCTCATATAAACTCACGTGATAGAGCATATTCCCCATCAAGATAATATAAAACTGGCTCATTCTTTATGACAACAATTTTTCAAATTTTATGAATAGGAGATGAAAAAATTGATTAGTTGCTCGCCTTTAATTTTCCATATCTCCTTCCCATTCTACATTAACAAGAAGATAGCGAATAGTATTGCCTTTCTTTAATATTATTTCATCTTTCCCAACTGGATGCTTATATTTTGTAGATGGTCTAGATTCTACTCACTCTAAAACAATAGCTTTCACTAGCTTGAGTCCTTACTTTTCTGATCCCAGTTCTTGAATAAGGCGTGTGGAATAATTATTTAGGTAATTAATAATTACTAGTATATATCTAACCTATGCTTTTATTAATCTAGGATCAGAAGATATCAATTCAACAGCATACTGGATCTTATATAGAATTTTTGAGAATGTCTGATTAAATCGCTCTACAATTGCAGTTTCACGATGATTATATGAGCTAATTACTCAAATTATTACATTATGTTCTTGCATCAATTGAGAAGTTTCACCTATCTATTCTCATCCATTATCTGTTTAAAGTAATTTAGGATATGTAAAATGATTATTTCGATTACCATATACTCTTCTGAATGCTTTAGCAATTTCAGAACTTTTCTTCGATCTAAGAGGAACTGAGGCCTTGTATCTGGAAATGCAATCTATAATGTTAAGTACTACTTTATATTTTTTACCTCTATAGTAATCATAAGTGAGAAATAGTATATCACACTGATATACACAATTAGAACGTGTTATTCACCTATAGCTGACTCTAGAGATATATATTGTAAAAGTTTTATTAGTTTGGTATGACTCTTGATTTTCTAAAAAAATCTTTACATTCACTTAGGTGGAATCAGTGCCTCCTTTTTTTACATGCATTTCTTAGGGATTTAGGATTAGAAAAATATTCAATAGGCTGATAATATATCTCTCATAAATAAGATTCCATTCTATACTACAAGTCTTATCAGGATCTATTTAAATTATAGGAACCCTTGTTTTTTACTCATCCTTTTTTCATCTCTCAAAAAGATAGAACTATCTATAAAAGAAAGAAGATAGAACAGCACTGATGTCTGAAAATAAAGTATATGAGAGTCAGATACAATTCCTAAAGTGTAATTTATATCATAGTGAGCTAGAGATATCTCAATTGTATAAAAAAAAGAGACTTCAGAGCAGGAGATATCTGATCTTAAAAGCCAGATAACAGCATTAGAGATAAAAATCCATAATCTGAAAAATATTGCAGAGTGTAGATTGCTTTTTTTTTTTTTTTTTTTAAGATGGTTTTAGATTGAGTGATCGATTTTGCTCCAGACACTCATAATGAGTAGTTAGGTATTCCTGTATGGTTATAGCATCGAAACACCCTTAAGCATTGACCTCATATTTCAGAGGCCTCTGCCACTGAACACATCCCCTAGGTTGTGCTATCTAAGGTATAACATCCTAAACCCCGACATCCCCATTATGCGGAGAAAGATACCTTAGTAACTCTGGTACTGTTAAATTTGGATAGAGGGTATATCGCAGTCATAGCAAACGTCATCACTACCTTACTAACGATCTTTGTGAGCTATAACTAAGATCCAATTATTTGGTTTGGCTTTATCACTACTATATAGAGAGCCGCAGGGTTCATAGGATAGTACCACAAGATTTGTCCAAACGGAGATCTCCAGTTGTGCATATAGACTACATCAACCAGGTGACTTTGATATCCAGAACGTCAAACAACTCAGGAATCGAATCTGACCTCTAACCTTAGTAACAGCTCGATTTGGTATAGATTGCTATTTATAACTTTTGAGAAATTAGATATCGGAAGAATTATCTAAGCTTTATGAAGAGAGATATTTCGGCTAAAAAATAGGATTAGTAATCTTATTATGGCCTTATTAAGTAATATACCTGATCCTAGATGACCCCTTCAATACCATTAACAAGAGATTTTTCATCATTCTCATCATTTTCATCATCTTCAAGGCAATCGGATCATAATCAACCTTTATCGAGCAATATAGCTTCTGGTTCATCAGATGCATCAGGAATACAAGACCATATATATGGAATAGATGAATGCAGAAAAATTAATTATCATGCTACTATCTAGGTAAACTATTTGAAATGAGTAAGGCGTACTTAAGGTTGCTTGTCTAAACTCATTTTGGATTTGGCAAAATGGTAAAACCTTTAGTTTCGCTAAATTTTTACTAAGTGTTTGATATAATTTCGCCATTTTTATAAGCTTTGATATAGTTTTACCTTTTTCCAAATTTCGCAAATTTTTTAATAAGATTTTAATATAATTTAACCAAGTTTTACTTTTATCATTTAGACGTCTGTCTAGACTTTTGATTTCATCTAGCAACCTTAGGCGTACTGCTAATAATGAAATTAATTTACGCAGAGTTCAGAATTGGTTAAAAAATCTTGAAGACAATCATTTACAAGCTGAAAGAATAATAGCTGAGTATGATAGAGAATTATAAGATACCCAGAATGCTTTAAAAGATGTGAAAACCCTAAATGGAATATTACAGAGGATCTTGCTAGAATAATAGAAAAGCCTCAATCACTTTCTGGTGGCTCCTCTAGTGAAAGAATTTCTATTGAAACATTTCAAGAAAAATTTGATCAATCTATTGGGCATCATCGCAATTTGAGTAAATAACTTGATGATGATTTATCGGCTAGTATTTCATTTTTAATACTGTTTCCAGTAGAGCCAGAATAAAACTTATCTCCCTAAGAGGTTTGCCGATTATTAGAGAAAGAGCATGAGAAAACTTTAAAGGCTATAGGCCTTGCTAATACTGCAGAAAAAAAGGTTCAAGAATTGACACAAGTTATATATGGTGAAAGTCCTTCTCCTCCTCCTGAAATGTCAAGTTCTTGTTTAGAATTTAATGATAAGATTTTAGATGATTTAGGGGTATTACAGGTGGGAAGGAAGATTCTATGCCAGATTTTCCATCCTATGATGAAGATATAGAAACTACTAATGATCGGTTAAGAGAAGAAAAAGCCAAATTACTTCGAGAAATTACTTATCTTATTTTCATTTCTCAATTTCAGATCCATAAGGCTAAGATAGTTCAAGATTTATGGGTTAATACAAGGAGAGATAATCGATAACTGAAAGCTCAACTGCATGAATGTCAAGGTGATAGGGGGTACTAAAATATAATTGAGATCGGCTTTTTGATAGATATAAGAAGTGGAAAAATAAGACACATAAAGAACGTCAAATAATATTTAATTTACAGGGAGAAATTTTAGCATTACAAAATAATCCACTAAATATATCAGGAATGTTAGGATACAATCTCCCAATATTTTATGGTTGTTCTGAAAAGGATCCAGAAGATTGGCTTAGAGATATACAAAGATATATAATAGTTAGTCAAATAAATATTGCGCCTGATGCAGGTCAGACCGCTAGAAGAGAAGAGGCATTTGGATTAGTAGTATTATACCTTGCAGGTGATACATTAAATTGGTATTTAACTCATGTAAGAGGTAAAAATTGGAGATGTAATATTCTCTCAGACAATTTGAAAGTACTTACTTTAACTGCTATTCGAGCAATAGGTATCAGAAATAGTAGTAATCAAATTGGTGGTTTGAATACTGCTAGAGAATTTCAAGGTAAGATGGCCGCCGAAATTAGTAGAATTAGAGCAGGAGTCACAACAGGCGCTGATATTATTCTGGATGGAACATGAGATGAAGATTGGTCTATAGCTAATGGTGAACCTATAGATCATGTACCAGTAGTGCCTAATGCTGAAGGGGTCTTCCTGCTGTTACTATTGCTTCAGATATTAAGCTTGTTCAACTTTTATACCTGTTTAAAACTGGTTATACAACAGTTGAATACTTAAAACACACGGAAGTTTTTGGTCAACTTATGCAAGACGATATGTCAGTTGAGCAATTCTCCACTAGAATTAAAAAGATTGGTAAAGTAGCTAAAATGACTTCCGAATAGCAAAGAGGGCAATTTATTCATGGTCTGTTTCTGATGAATCAATATAATCTTCAAATGATGACCAAATTTTATGATACACAGGATAATATTACAAAGGCTTTAACTGAAGCAGAAAGATTTACATTATCTCAAAAATCTTTTTTCCAATTTTTCCGGCGGCTAATCCATATGTAAAAAATACAATAGCATCTTCAGAATCTCAACAGCCTCAACAGTCTCAACAAGTGACTTCATCACAATTTCAACCACAACCTGCAAGAATGCATAAAAATTTATGAGATGAGAATTTAAGCAGATTTTTATCATAGATTACAGGAGAAACCCCAAAATTTGTTCTTGTTCCTAATCTTACTTTACCACTAAAACCAAATAAAAGGTTGAGGTTAATTCTGATGATGAACTTTCTGAACTCATAAAAAGGCAGTTAAAGTTACATGTGGCTAAAGCCGTTAAAAAGGTTGTAAAAACACAACATAAATATTCTATTTGTAGTGAGACTAGGCATAATTCTCGCAAATGCTCTCAAAAAAAAAAAGAAAAACAAGAAGTCTAAAAAAGGTAAGGTTAATCTCACTACTTTAGATTTGGTCTCAGATTCGAATTCAGATTCTTCTTCTGATACCTCATTTAGTGATAGTTCTGATTCTGATTCAAGTTCTTCTGATTTTTCTGATTCTAAAGGTGAGCTTAATGTTAATATGGCTAAGGTAAAAAAAGTAAAGCAGAAGTCTAACTCTAAGAAATCTAGTTCCAAGAAATCATCATTTAAGAAATGCTCTAAGAAAAAAAACAAGTCTAATAGTATAATACCTTTGGCTAAATCCGCTGAACAGGTTAGTAAAGTAGATTCTGAGAAGCCAATAAATAGATCTGGTAAGGTTAAACGAAGCACTCTGAAAGAAACTATTTGTAAAATTCTCCAAAGTAAACTTAATTAATTTTTCTTGCATTGATTTCTTAAGACTCTGTTTCCAGTTCCAATAAAGCTGATACACCAAAACAAGTGCTTTCTATTCAGGGGAAGACAGAATTTCAGAGTGATAAGATTCTAATTATCAAAGACATTTTATCAGACCTAGAGGAGGAAGAATATTTGGAGGATTCTATGAAAATCGACTTTGTTCAGAAAAAGGAACCTGCTACAGATATTGCAATGGTAAAATGTAAAATTAAACGCTTGATGATCCTAGATGTCGTGGTTGATCCTAATACTAATTTCGCAATTATAATTGATGATATAGCTAAATGACTAAAACTAAAAATTGATACGAGTGAAAAATATAACCTTAAAGGTATTGCTTCAGTCCCTATAGAATCGCTTAGTATAACTAGGATGCGCCTGTATATTTTGCTTCTGAATGTATTATATATTCTGATTTCGCAGTAATAAAACATCATTTAGGAAAGCTGATGATAATTTTGTCAAACACACTTCTCGATAAATATAATTATGATTTGCTTGCATCAAAGCGGGAGTTGAGACGAGAGTGTAATAGTAAGAAATTTTTTATTCCAATCAATATGCATAAGGTCAAGAATAAGTTTGAGGTGAATTGATTCCAGATAGAATTTCACAAGTCTTGCAGGATTTAAGTGAGGATGGAACATTAAAAAAAAATGCATAAACTATGAGAATATGGTAATTCATATAAAAGAACTTGAGAAGAAACTTTCCAATGCTTTCAAGTTCAATGCAGAAATCAATGAGTTTTGCGAAAGTCTTCTTAGGAAATAGGCAAGTTATTTCAGGATAACGCTTCTTTTTACATCTATAATTTTTGTACTTTTTTCGACCATCTTCTCATAGGATACATCTAAATTTACATTATTTGAATTGGCTGAGTTTGAATACTAGATGGTTCAGAAATCTGAACAGACTTTGATTTCTTTTCTCCTGTCTTTTTTGCCTTACTGTCTAAAATAACACTCCCTTCTAAAGCCAAATTAGTAGATTTATTAAGCTCTATCTTACCATCACGTATTTGTTTTTCCAATTTTGCAAATGGATAAACATCTTGGTCTTGGATCTCTGACTCAGTCCGCCTACCTACAACATTTATATTAGAAAGTGAAGCTGTTGGCATATGAATTAGTTGATTCCACATAATTCTTTTTTTTTCTTTACCTCTCCAGATCTGATAAATACATTTTTGTGATATGCGATATTTATCTGTTAAATCCTTTAAAACTTTATCTTTAGTCTTTTTTTCAGCACATTACATAATAAAATTATAATCATTTGGTGAAAAAGAAGGGGTATCACATCTCATGTGTCGCTTAAGCATGGTAGCAATTTTTTTATATCTAATATAATATTCTAAAATAATTTATTAATAAGATATACAGGAAAAATGTATCATTATGAATATATTGGATATATAAGATATATAGGAAGAATATATTTCAGATAAACAGGATATACAGAATATAGAGGATGTATAGGAAAATATATTTCAGATAAATGGAATATACAGGATATATAGGACATATAGAAAGAATATATCATTCTGAATATACAGAATGAATGTATTATCTCAGAATTTTATTTGTATATTTTTTTTCTGCTATGTAACCATACCAATATTATGTCTAATATACGTATACTGAAAGATATAAAAGATAAAGAACATCAGCTGAGTAGTACATATGAGTAAGAGCTTGAAAAAAAATTAAGATCTGCTATCGAATTTAACTCTGAAATTATTGACTTCAACGAAAAGTTGCAGGCTAAAAATTCAGAGTATTCAGGGCGAAAAAAGGAGTTCCAGCAATTCCATGCTGATATTAGAAATAAGGTTAGCCAGCTAAATAGTGCAAATACTAAGCTTACATCCCAAATTACTTATGAACGGATTTTTCATACTGAGCTTAAAGCCAAATATTCTGCTGAAATTAAATCACTCAAATCCAATATTAAAATACTAAAGAGAGAGGCAACTTTGGCGTAAAAAGCTTTGTCCGCTGACAAGGTTAAGATACTTTTTCTTGAAGCTAAGGTAATTGAATTAGAAGGTAAGTTGCTAGATCTAGAACTAGAACACGTGATTCGCATATAGTGGGAAACTACTAAAGGAGCTGGCCAAATAGACTTATTCGCAATAGAATCTCTCAATCTCAAAATTGAAGTGAGCGAATAAGAATCTTAATTCAAAAAACATGAAATAGAATATATAAAAAAAGGAATAGAATTATCAAATAACATATACAATCAGATGATAGATTCTTTATTTTCAGCGTGATCAAATTTACTTAAGGAAAATGCTTATCTTCAAGAATTACTGTTGAAGAAAGAGCCGAGAGACGTTTTCATAATGAAGTAGATACTCCACTCCTGCCTATAAATAATACGTTACAACCTTCTGCTCTTAATTCTCCTACATTCCAGACAATTTTTGTGGATGACGTAAAAGCAGTTATAGCTATCCCTATTGTCACAATTATATAATTTATGATCAGAAGAAGAATATGGAGTTTATGGAAAAAAGTAATACTGAGTATTCTCTTAACTGAAACTATTTTTTATTATCTTCAGGCATTTCTGAGGCCGGGTTGTATAATCAGAAGCCAGAAGTTTGGAGTAATCATCCTAGGCTAGAAGTTCGAAGATAGGAATTGAAGTTAGCTGGTATTATTGTATGAGAAAAAAATATGTAAATAAATATGTAAATAAATATTATGCGAAGCGCCTTAATAACTAAGTTTTCTTAGCTGAAATTAGGATGAATTCTCAAAATATCTAGAAAGTTTATTGAAGGCTCTTGATATATTTTATAAGCCAGTTTTTTGCCTTTTTCTAGGAATATTCATCGATCTGCTTTTCCCTTTTATCTGAATCCTTGATCTGTATTATTTTATCTTGATGGGGGTGGTTGAGAGCTATCATCTTTATTGATAAAGTGTGCGCACATTGCTGTTGTTGATCCTAAATAATAATTGATATCTATTTTCATGTTTTGCTCTTTTGCGATGTCTGTTTACTCCATAAAATCACCAACTTTATGTGGCTCCTTTCTACTGTCTTTATTATATAGAGGTAGACCTTTTACAACAACATAGCTAAAGCGTTCACTGGGATCAGGAATCCTTTCATTTCTCTTTCTCATACGTCTCATAAAGTGATTGTTGCAAAGATTTTTTTCTTAGACTTTCATATTCTCATTACAATAAATTTATTGAAATCCCATTCCTTATTCTGTGCTTCTTTAAGAGTATCTTCAACAATTTTGTGAATTGAGCGTGTATTATTTATATTCATAGCCTCCCTCATAATCCTCTCTTTAATGTATTTGAGAAGCTGGAATTTACCTTACTTTACAGTATCTATCCCTTTCATGAAAAGGTTTTTCAGTTTAAAGTTTATTATATCTTCATGCTCAACCCAAAGTACTTCTTTTTACCAGTAAAACAGACAGAAAATAATACCTCTTTGTATGCTATAAGATGCCTCACTTTTTATCCTAAGATAAGCATTTACTTGATCATGCAACTTTTTCATAGTAATTTTGACTATTTCAGTCCAGTATACTTCTTTAGAAAGTTCTTTTCTGGAGAAGGCTTCATTGCATTTCTCGTTATACCTATCTGGGCAGGTGAGATACAAAGAATCGGTATTCCATATTTTATCAGAAACCCTTTCTTTGATACGAATTCAACAACAAGATTAAGATTATATTTTTCCGCTATAGTAATTTTATAGGCTAATTTACGAAGAAAGATTGGAGATTTTCTATTTTCTGCTTCCCTATAAAAAGTGTTCATATATATCTTTAAAGCTTTTTGCTTTGAATCCCAATAATCATAATCAAAGTATACAGATAAGTATTCTAAATTTAAGCTTTCCAGAATCCTTTTGCCTCTTTCTTTAGCTGAACTTATCATCTTCCCAAGTTGTTGCCTTTTCTTTCCTAGTGAAACCAGACATACTTTAAGCTTCAGCCTCTTGTTAAATAAATCCTTTAATACAGCCGGGTATAAGTCTTTCTTTTCCATTTGGCTATCATGGCAGATGTATCAAGCTTAGACAATATGTTTATTAAACGAAAACTCAATCTTATACAAATTATTTCCATTATTTTGTGCAATATCAGCATCCTTTTGATCAAAAATAAATTTTTCTGGGGAGAGTTTATATACCATGATAATACTGGGATATAATGAATTAAAATCCAATCCTGTTACAGGTCTTTCTCCTTTAATCCCTTTTTTAGGTGGAAATACGTATGCACCAGGATATTTCCCTTTTTTATGTCTTCAGGAACCCTTGTACTAATTATCATATCTCATTTGATAGCATATACGCTGAGAAGGTTCTGTACCTTCATTCTGTTTGTGCGATAGTGTGTGTCGAAAAGAGAAATGTAAGCTATAAAGGCGATTTCTCTATAATCATTTATTATACTTTAGTTTACCAAAAGCTCTTGATAACGCAGTGCGTCTATAATACAGTAATGTGTTAATTCATGCATATTTCTTGCGGTTGATAAGGAGAGGCTTTTTTTACTTCTGAATAGATTTTCCACATTTTATTATATGGCATATTGGCCTTACTGTCAAGACTGAATTTTGTAAGAAGAATTTAAGTGAGCCTTTCATTTCGACTTCAGAATAAGAAAAATGTTTTTTGAGACACACTCATACGTTAATTGCTACACACCTTAGCAGTTTAAGAAAACTAGAAGCAAAATCCTCTTCTGTACTGATTTTGATCTTAATTGGACCGCCCCTATATTCCTTTTCCTTTAGATCCTTCTTACCTTACTTAGAATGCTCAATAATATTCTTTGCCTTAAAAGCATTTTTAGAATTCTCTCTTATCTTTTCATGGTATTTTCACTTTAGGATTTCTTCCTTTGTTTTGAACTTTCCTGTTATTCGCTTCCACATCCATTTGAGTATGTTGAGATGATATGCTCTTTCCATAATAAAATGCCAATCATAGTCTGAATCGTTAAACCCAACTAGGATGTCAGGAGCAAATGCTCGCTAGCAGAGAGTGAAAGCTTTTAGCAGCTTTACTTAGTTTCTGTAAATAATTGTGATCCAGCGTGAATCTGGTTCTATCTCAACATTGACAAGACATATTTGCTTTAGTGGTTTTGGATCATCTTTCCAATACAGTGTCATGCCAATCATAAAAACATTATGATTCAGATCAAGGACTTTGGCAAATTCACTCAACTCTCACAATTGGGTCTCTATATCTCAAGTGAGGATAAGAGTATGATCTTGTAAGAGAGCTGAAATTGGGAATCAGTCACTTATTATTGTAAGATCTTCCAGAGGACAAAAATCTTTTATAGATATATAAAATTCATATGGACAAAGCGGGCTGGTCTGCTTGCCTTTCTTGTATATATTTTGTTTATTGTGAACCATCCAGAGAATTGGATTCCATTTTTTTGAGTCATCTTTCGGTGGAATGAATATAAATCATCTGAAGCAGTTTCGAAATTATTTTCTTGGATAGCTTAGATGGCTTTCTTTCTACCATTTATATAAATTCATAATATGATTTTTTTTGGTATGATAACCCCAAAAAGGGAAAGCTTAAATATGCTTCATTTTAAATGATTTCATAATGCTAGAGAGAATTTCGCTTACCTTTTCTTCACATTCATCTGGAATCTCTCTGACTGGTACGAGAATGTCAAAGAAAACTTAAATATTTATAAGGATTACCAGTGCCTTTTGACCATTAATAAAGTGACTATAAAGACGCAATATATAGTAATATGTTCTATTTATCCTTTCTGTTGATCCTTCATTTTCAATAGCTATGAATGGAATGTCTTGTCATTTAGATAAATTATCTTTAAGGATTAAAGATAATCCTTCATCATTTCCTGCAATTATATCATCCAGTATTAAGATATCCAACAAGTTTTTTTTACCAGAATAGCGAATCAGTTAGCCTTCCATTTTATCTTTTTTAGCCTCTGGGTGAAAAAGTGGGGTGGGAACGTTAAGGAAGTCTGAAAGCTCAGATTGTATCATAGTAAATTTTTTGGATATGTTATTTAGTATACTGTTTCAGTATAATACCCTAACAAAAAAGTTTAAAATAAAAATAAATATTATTATACATATCAAAATGTTATCCAAGAATAATATCAATAGGTGGTAAATACATTTGCCAGTATCGTTCTGATGAAGGAAAGGTTGGTGGGGAAGGAAGCAGACAAAAAGAATGGTGTAGTATTCACTAGAAAAGACGTCAGCGACCTCTATGCAAATAAGATGAATGTGAAAGACAAACAGTCTTTAAATATAGGTTTTGTAATTTACATGTAAATAAGTGCTATTTAAAAGCAAATTATTATCAGAAGAAATTGGATAAGATATTTCAGAACTGGCAGATTCCAGAGGCGTTAGGAGAAGCTCTTGATAGAATGAAAATGCCTAATGCTATAAGTTAGCCCTAATGACTTATCAAAAATTTTGCTTTATGAAAAATTTATAGGAACAGTAAAAAAACTTAACAAGAATGCTGTTAGTATAACAAACTGGCAATTTTAGAACTCTGGGAAGGCATTTTAATATTTACTCTTATTAATCTTATGAACCCTATGAGTTTCCAAATTCTTTACCTTTTTTTTATTTTTTTTTGCACTTGAAATTCCTTACCATTACATTACATATATACCATATCATAAAATATATCATAGGAATTTTACATAACAAAAATTTTGAATTTTTTTCCTAAAACTTTTATTTTTCATAGGGTTCATAGGGTTGATAAAGATAAATAGTAAAGAACATAGAAAAATAAATTAGAATTCCCAAAATCGACATCAAAGTTGACTTTATGAAGTACCCCATGAAAATTTGGTATTAATTTTATAAGGACACAATTTACTACTATACAGAAACGTGGTCTAAAAACCAAAATTATGAATAAGCACATTCTCAATAGACAAATATAAGGGTAGGAAAGTGCTTGACTTATCAAGAATTTTAACTTTACCGATTCTCCTCTATGTTCGATTATATTGATTTCAAACTTGACAAGATCTAATTTGAATGCCATATAGAAATGAATGCCATTTTCTGAATCTTTGAGCTTGAGTATTCAGATCTATGAAGTTTTCTGAATACAGGCAACTGATGCTTAAATCACTTCATAAACTTCAATATGAGAGAATTTTTTACCTGAAGTACACATACGTAGTAAGTCATCTCACACAAAATGGTCATTGGGATCTGATATTCTAAATCAGTCTTTTTTTTACTGAACTTGAAAGCTTTTGTTCTTTACCTAAAGCAGTTTCACTAATAGTGAGCTTTATTAAGGATTTCTTATTTCAGGATTTCGTTTATGATTTGTGCAATAACATTTAAAACTATATGATTTTATTTCATATGATATATGCATTTTTATTTATATGCTTCTGATCACATATTAGGCAGTGTGATAGAGAGTTGCATATTAATGGAAACAGATTCAGAAGGTTATCTGAAGTGAATGAGAGAATATACCCTTCCATGCCATTTTTTCTAAGTAATGATTCTACAAAGTCGAATTCAGCCTGAGTGGTTTTGCTACTTATATTATTATTTCACAGCAAAAATTAATTGCAGATCAATCTACTGTACCACCTGTTGCCTCTTTTTTTACACCATTTTAGTATTTTAAAAGGCAACCAAATAGGCGCAAATTCTCAGTATAGAACTAGCAACCAAACAAGTATAAAGTATCAGTATTCTCAACATGGAACCAGATATTCAAACAAGGATGGAAAACTAATACTAACAATGTAGAATTTATAATGTAAATGAATTAGGAATAAGAAGAAAGTAGTAACCATTAGATCATAAAATTACCATTAAAATTAAAATATTACCATCTACCGTTAGACTATGAAATCACCATCATAATATACAAGAAATAATTGAAACAATGATATAAATATAAAGAAGCTATCCATATATAGGTTATGAAGTTACTATCAGATTATGAATAGTAGGTTATGAAGTTACCACCAAATCATGAAATTAGATTATGAAATTACCACTATATTATGAAGTTACCAGCAGACTATGAAGTTACCATTATATTATGAAGTTATCAGTAGACTATGAAGTTATCAAAATATTATGAAGTTACCAGCAGATTATGAAGTTACATTCATGACTTAACTCAAATCACATGTGATTTGAACTCTTTGTGAGATGTTCATGGTTTATTTAACAATAGAGAATAATATTCTACTTCCATATGAGAAAGTATGAAAAATAGTTGACTGGACGGTCAATTTATCATTAGTGAAGCTAACAAATCTTGGTTGAAGAACTAAAATATTAGAAATATTACCACAAGTATGACATAAATGAGATTTTATTTCTGTTTTTTACTTTAATGATGAGCGCTATAGTAGATGTAGGCTTTAGTATAGTTTTGGTTTGTCATAGCTGAAGGTCAGGGAATGCTAGCCCAGAAGATCAATGTCTTAGGGTGTTGAGAGTTTTTGCTCCTCTCTACTGTGCGTGATTATCTAACCAAAATAATGACGATATGCTTTTTTAAAAGTTTCTGAAAATACATGTGTGATAGGATTATAATTTATAAATTTAGGATAGGAATAATGCTAGTACTTTTTATCACATCTACTGTAGGTAGAGAGTGGATATATTAGTGTTCGCAGACTAAAAGCATTAAAAGTATTGAATATGGTTAGAGAATTACCTATAGACTATACTCAGGAAGAAATAGAACAAAATCTTAATATATTAAAATTTAAACTCAAGATGATTACTATACCATTTGAAGATTTCTTATGTTTTAAAACTAATAAGCTTTTGTGCTTAGCATCTTATAATAGAAGCAGTCATAAATCTTTATGATTCACTTAAACAAAATTTAGCGAGTATAAACTTTTCAGATCTCATATGACGGGACCCTGAAGCAAGCATGGTTTTAAGTAATAATCCAGACATCGTGAAAAACTTGGGAAGTAGGCAAAAAAGTATCTTCATATTACCTTGAGAAAATATGAAATATATCCTTCCCGATTCAGTTGTCACTAAGTGTGTTAATTTTGTAAAAGTTTTCAATAATGTGAAGAATGCAAGGTCTATAAAAAACATACTTTACAATAAAAAATGGAAAGAAAGTGAGACAGATTTAGTAAAGATAATAGAACATATTCTAGATATAATGTAAGTTGCTTGCTTATTCAAAAATTGATGGAATAACATCGTATTAATTATGTTTTCTTTTATCAGTAGTGAAATATAGAGCAATCCTGCATTTATGACTAGTACATCTCGCAATAAGCAGAGTAAAAGAACATACATGACAGATGTCATAATTTCTTTACTTTGAACGAGTTTGAGTGATCTTCCAAATGATGCTATTTGTCTAAGCATGGCTGAACGTCAAAGTATAGCAAGCAAGGCTCAAAGATAATTAGAGAACAGATGGGAAAAAAACCTGACATTATGGGTTTAGTGAAGCAAGATGAAAAAATTATTGAGCTATTGTATACTGAGTCATCACATATTGTATATACAGTCATACCTCTCTATAGCGAATTTTTATATAACGAATTTTTTGGACAACTATATTAAATTTACCCT